AGCCTGAGGGATGGTGTCAATTGACTTGAGTTCTAATTCTATCTTCACAACACCATTATAAGTCCTAGCCCACTAGCCAGAGTCCAAGGGGAGAATTTTCCATGTGGTATCCCCTCTCTTCTTTTCTTACCCAATCCTTTTACTATTTATTGCAGATTTCAGGAGAGTGGTATTCCATTTACTTGCCTCTGACCATAAGGAAAAGATAGAAGAAAATGGCAGCATGAGGCTTTTTGTGGAACGCATCCATGCCCTGGAAAACTCTTCTCTGTACTTTAAATTCCATAAAATGTAAGCGTGGAATTTTTTTTCTTTTTACAGATTTGGGGGTTATAAATGCAGTTTTGTTACATGGATATATTGTGCAGTGATGAAGTCTGGGCTTTTAGCATACCCATCACCTGAATGGTGTACATCGTACCGAATAGGTAACTTTACATCCCTCACCACACTCCCGCCCTCCCATCTTTTGGAATCTGCAATATTTATTATTCCTAAGTATGAGATTTTTTTAGTTGGGAAAAGAAAAATTGAAGCCTGAGTATGATCTTGAATACACACACACAGGCACAAACAAGTGTGCACATATGTACACAAATGCAAATGTGTGCACACACATATGCTGAACCCTGTGTACTGATCCAGGACTTGATGGATCTGAGGTTTTTCAAGATTCAGAGACAAGAGTTGGTAACAGGAATAAATTTAATGGGTGTGGAGAAAGTAGGAGGTAGAGGGACACCAGAATCCTAAGTAGCATGACAATACAGCGTAGGTTAACAGCATAGAATCTGAAATCAACAACACAAATTTGAATCTATGTCTTACTAGTTCTGTTACCAAGATAATTCGTCTCTTTCCACCTCCATCTTCCTGTGGGTAGAAGGAGTTGATAATAATTCTCCCTTGTGTCTTTTTGTGAGGACCAACTCAGGTAACATTTGTAAAGCACTTACTTGTGAGGCTGCCAGGTCGTGAGCACTCTGCTCATGATCTAGACAAATAGTTGTGGTAACAGTAACAGTGGCAAGTAGTGGTGATAGCAATAGTGATAAAATCAAGCAAAATAATATTGTCTGGTGACTGAACAAAAAAATGTTCGAAACTTAGGTGGAATCAGAAACTCAAGTTATGGGGAGCGTAGAGGGGGAGGGAGCCAGCCCCATCAATTTCTTTTGGGCATTAACTCGTTCTGTTTCACAGCATAAATGGACAGTGCAGTGAACTTCCTTTGGTTTGTGACTCAACAGGAAAGGATGGTGAATGTAGTGTCGAATGTAAGTATACAAAAAAATTCTTTCTAAAATCTACTTCCAGCTGCAAGGAATTTGCTAAACCCTGATATCTTCAGGATCATGATCAATTCTTGATCAATACTTATTTAGGTAATATAACAGGGGCCATCTAATAGCCAATATCCTGAATTTGGGAAAACTTTGTATGTAAAAGCCAATGCTTGACATGTAATTCCATCAGATGAAGAAGGCAGTTCGGTTGTGTGTACCTTCTGCAACAAAAGCTAATTGTCAGGGAAAGAAAAGTAAATTGGCAGGACAGATTCTCATTCCCTGATATGTTTCCAATGATGCCTGGTGGCCGTTGCCACAACCTGTTACTCAGGATGTAGCATGAGGTATATGATGCCGGTGGGGCTTAGAGAGAGGACAAAGACATATCACTGACGAGATGCTGAGGGGTGTGGGTAAGTATCAGGGAAGAAGATAAAGCATGAGTTGCTGCTGTGGGCTACATTTTTCAACAACTAGCAGTCAATCTACCCTATCTTTAGAAGTCGCTTCACGAAGCCCAGGGAGATGCAAATGGAAGGCATTGAACATCCTCACTCTCTATCTCTTCCAGGAAAGAGATTTGGTCCCTATGGACCAAAAGAAGTTCTGAGCTGTATTCTGTTTCCTCCACAGATGATGGGCACAATGTAGCTGCCATCCTTGAAACTGACTATATTGGCCACATTGTTTATCATGTCGACAATTACAACAATGAGGAAAAATCCCAAATTATGGTGCTCTTTGGTAGAGTATTTTCTTGCTGGCATTTATCTTGGGGTGGGGAGAAAGGGAAGGAAGGAACCCGAGATACACAGTGGTCTTCTCAATCTTATCCTGGACTATCTCTCCTCTTCAGAAGACAGATGCTTTCCCTTGGTAAACCCTCAGGCTCAGTGATAGGAAGATTATGAAATCTCTCGTCATGCCAGAAAGATATCCTACTGATGTCAAACTCAGGAGAGGTTATCTCCACCCCCCCCAAGACTTCTGTCTCAGCATCCAATTGGTGCCATCCATTTTCCCATCCCTCTGGAGCCTGGTCACCTAATGTACCTCTGTGACCAATTACACAAGGCAAGTCAGTGTCACTCTTCCCACAGGCCGAGAACCGGGCGCAAGTCCAGAACTCAAGGAAAAGTTTGGGGAATATTGTGAAAAATATGGAATTGTTAAGGAAAACATACTAGACTTGATGAAAGTTGGTAAGTCGAGCTATTTGGCTGTCTCCGCCTAAATTCCCATGTTATAGAAGGAAGAAATCCAAGGGAAAGTAACACCGCAAATGAGTCCCCTGTGTCCTAACCTGGAGAATCATCTGGTTTCTTTCTAAAAACTAAACTGGTGTTGGTGTCTGAATGTGTTCTGTTCTGCCTCTACAGATCGCTGTCTCCAGGCCCGAGACAATGCAGTGGCCTAAGCCTCCAGGTTGGTGATCTCTGACCCTGGTGGAGAGGGGTGGCCAAGGGACCAGTGACTTCTAAAAGCATTAGGGGTTCATGCCCAAACATTACAATAAAAATAATTTGGTAATGAAGTTTGTGCAGAGAGCTTGAAATTTGCAGTTGAAAGACATGGATTGAGGACCCAGTTCTGTCATGAGCTGTTGGGAAAATTATCTAAGCAATTTAAAAGGAAACAATGGTGTCTACCTAACAGAGTTGCTGCATGGATGTGATGCTGGTGAAAACAGCTCAGTAATTGAAAATGTGCTAAAAATCACTAAGACAAAGTTTAAAATGAAAAAAAGAGTAGTAGTACTTTAGTAATTTGCAGAAAGTATGCATTTAATAAAAGGTAGCTATCCCTTTTGCCATTATTCCTCAACTTATCCAAAATTCTCCAAAACTTCTAATGCTGAAGGTGGCACAAACAGACCAAGGGTCCTTTACTGCTTCCTTTCTGTTTTTCGTAGATTCAGTGGGGAAAGGTTAAGATAGCATTAGCAACAGTAAAAAGAAAAGGTCACTTACCCAACACCCTCCCTCCTCCTGTTCTAGTAAATAATGTAGATGAGAAGATAGGCTGAAATCTATTTCTTCACCATTTTTCTCTGTAATAGAATTTCTCTCCATCTTCCTATCAATCCAAGGAACACTTAATAAGTTTCTGTGTTCTCTTTCTTCTCTGCTTATTTAGTGCTCCATGATTGCTTCCACACCTGGGCTCCAGCATCTTCCCTCCCTGGTCCCCATGTCCTGCTGCGACAAGTTCTGTGACCTGGTTCCCATCACTGTCACACACGAAAGCATTATCCCTGCGTCTTCAGGATCTGCCCTAATTTCCTAAGAAGACTCCTCAGTTCGCCAAGAATCAAAAGTTTTCTCTGAATTTCCCAGTCTCACTTCTATGACCAGGGGAAGTCTACCATGAATAACACCTTACTTGACATGGTCAGTAAATAATGAGCCTCGCAATCATGTGACTTGTCTTTGTGTCTGTGAGAGATGTAGGGCTGACGGCGAGCAAATGAGGGGACTTCCTTGGCCTTGCACTCATGATTTTCCTGTAGCTTCTAGAATCTTCTCTGGGTTCCAGGATGCTCCCTCCTCTGCAATAATTCTCTGCCCATTATCCCAAGTCCCCATGAGTGCTGCTTGCTCTTTGATTTGCCTATTTCTCAGTGACCTGATACGACCACTCTACATACCGTAAGAATACAAGACTTGCCCCATACTTTCTCCAGCCCAGAATTCTCTTTTTCAGTGTGGGCGCTGAGGGATAGATACTGCTAAGGCTGATTTAGGACACACCTCCTTATCCCAGCTTCTTTATGCCATCCATCCTATGAAATGGTTTCAGGGTCCTTTCACGTTCTTGGAAAACCTCCTTCCACCACCTCTGTTGTCTACTGTGAACATATTAAGTGAGATTCCATTAAATGTGAGCAATACCTATCTTCTGCAATCTGTACTTAGTGCTGTCAGGAGGCACCAAGGGGGATAAATGTTGTTAACTTCCTTTGGGAGCTAACAGGCTTTG